AAATGTACATGTATGTATGTGTCCTAGGAGATTTTCCTCTCAACCTTTTGGATCTACTCCATATTTTTACTTTGTTTTACTTAGGCATACAATAATATAAGAGCAATAAGAGGCAGTTCACCCTTGTGAAACAGATCTCTCATCTTTGGAAGAATCCTCCTTCTGGTTTTACTGAATTTTTTAAAAACTTTCTTTTTCCTCATAATTTGATACTTTTGAACTTTTGGGAAGAATGAAAGTTTGTTCTGAATGGTAATAATTATAGTCAGTTTTTTAAATACAAGATAAATGTCATATGGCATATTATGTTTTAAATTAGAAATGCTTCCCATAGGTTCATGTTTTGAACTCTCAGACCTCAGTCTATGGTGCTATTGTGAAGACCTTGGAAAATGTGGGTTATGGAGCCTATTTGATGGAATTATGTTGCTAGGACTGGTATTTTAACTTACACCCATTTCTGTTTCCAGTCTCAAGATCTCTGTCTCTGTCTGGTTCTGTGTAAACAGCAGGTTCACACTTTAGAAACCACAGATAGAACTGCTTTCATGCCTTTCCATGTTGGACTGAAAGAGTTCTGAAACCATGAGTCAAAACAAACCTATTCTTTCTTTTATAATTTTAATAAAATATTTTATTTATTATTCTTAATTTTGGTTATAATTGTTTTGCCTGCATGTATATAAGTGCGCCCATGTCATGCAATGCCCACAGAGTTCAGAAGAAAGCCTCTGATTCCCCTCGAACTGGAGTTACAGATGCTTGTTACCATCATGTGAGTGTTGGGATTTGAACCTGGGACTTCTGTTAAGAGAAGTCAGTGCTTTTAAACTGATGGCCCACCTCTCCAATCCCAATCCTCTTCTTTCTTAAGTTGTTTCAGTCAAAATTCTATTACATTATTTCAGGAGTAACCAATACAACCCGTAAATGTCACTCATTCACATACAAATTATGTAGATTAGAATTAAAGAGTATTAAGGAGTTATGGTAAGAGATTTGAATGCATTAACAGATCAAACACTAAAAGAATACAGATAACATTCTTCTTAGCACAGAAATAGTTACATCAGAAATATGAATTATTTTAGAGTTTGAGGTATAATCAGAATTGAGAAAGTGGAGCAGAGATGGAAAATTTAGGTTGAAAGACTTATTTCAGCATTGCAAATGGTAATTGGTTCTTGTTACTATTTATGAACATGGCTGTCCATCCTTCACATGATCATTAATATCATACTTATTTTAATGCTTTTCTATTTATAATTTTTAAATCTAATAATTAAAAGTAAATGAATATTTCTATTTGGAATTTTGTTTTCTGTTTAAAAATTACTAATTTATATTAAGATTGCTAAATTTTCATTCTTTTAATATATCAGGATCTTAATAAATTTTAGTTTAATAAAATGATCATCTTTTACTGTGGGAATGGAAACCTGGATTTGACAGTATAGAAAACTATAGATCTCACCATGACATACAGTGGCATGTATATATTGTTATTTAACATCTTAAGCATCTTAAGCAGTTTATCACCAAAAAAAAAAACAGTATTTTTTCTTCTCTTCTATGCCCATATTCTATCAGATTCAACTTGCAGAGTTTTAACAGCTGTCTTCCATTATCTTAGTATGAGGAAAACATTGGAAAGAATGTGTACTGTATCTAATTCAGGTGTCTAATCACATAACTCAGTTCTGTTTATGCTTTTAATTTGGGGATGCTTTGCCACTGCTACAACCCCTCCTTCAGGGAGAAGGACTTTAAACCATGTCCAGGATTTTAAAATAAAATGCAGAAAAGTCTGTTAGAACAAGCTCTACAGATTCTTTGACTGCAGTCAGTGCTTTTACAGGAAATGTTTACCAATCTGGGAACTAAAATAGGAACAACTGTTTGGGAAAGTTTGATTAACTGACCTCATAATTTATGTTGTATCCTTGGGGTTGTCACAAGTAGATTTCTCACCTTTGAGGGAGATGAACAGCATTGCCTTACTACCGTGCTAGAGTGCATTGGAAGATTCTATTTCATCCTTTCTTCTTAAGAGACTTGTCTTAAATCCTTATTGATTCTAAATAGCTAAAGAGTAAAAGTGGGGCTGGAGAGGTGGCTCAGCAATTAAGAGCACTGAATTCTCCTGCAAAGGACCTGGGTTCAATTCCCAACACCCGCATGGTGGCTAACAACCATCTGTTATTTCAGTTTGGGGTTCTGACATCCTCTCCTGTCCTCTTTGGGCATTCAAGGCACAGGTGTACTTACTGAAGCTTCGTAAAGTTAATTGAGTTTAAATGAGTTATTTAACTTGGTTCACTGCCAATGTGATTAGTATCTTTATGAAAGAGATCCAACTGAACACAGAGACAGAAACTTACAGAAAAGCACTCAGATGAAGGTAGAACTTGCTACTATTCCTCTACTCTTCAAGGTTCTACTCCAGTTAGTGCCACCAAAACACTAGCATTAGAATGATTATCCCTGTAGCTCTCAGGAGGACTAACCCATGCAACACATTGCCCTCATACTTTTCATCTCCAGAACTGTTAGATTACATATTTCTTTAATGTAAGAGACACAGGTTTTAGTACACTAATTTAGCAGTCATGGAAACTTGGAACTGGCTCTTTAAAGAATACATATTACGACTGTATAATCACTTAATATGTTACTATAATAAATTATCACAAGGGAGCTGGAGAATGGCTCAGAGGTTAATAGCACTGGCTGCTCTTGCAGAGGACCTGGGTTTGATTCCCAGCACCGACATGATGGTTGTCTGCAGCTCCAGTTCCAAGGGATCCAGTGCCCTCTTCTGACCTCTGTGGGCTTTGCATGACAGGAGTGCATTTACACACCTGCAGTAAATACACTCATATACATAACAGAAAAATATTTTTAAAAATAAAATAAATAATTTATCATAAACAATGACTTTACATAATATATTTTACCATCTTCTAGTTATGTGGCTTGGAAGAATGGACAATTCTCAGTGGGCTAAGTTAAAATGAGACCTGCGTTGTTTTGCTTGCTGGAGGCTCTGGGTATCATTAATATCTTTGACTTTTCTATCTACATTCTTCACATTGTGAGCTCTTCTTTCAGGCTTCAGAGTCGATAGCTTTGCATGTATTCTATAACTGTCCCATTACTGCTTCTCTCTATGACTTCATTTCCTGCTTTCCTCATCCACTTTTAAGATTCATGAGCACATTCAGCCTGCTTGCTGATACAAGATAAAACTTCTACTTAAAGTCAGTTGCTTAGATATCTTAATTCCAATTTTGCCATGTAATATGATATACAGGTTCTAGGTTTCAGAGTGTAGAACTCTTTAGGACTGTTTACTCTGTCTACCTCAGTAGCCCTCAAAAATTGAAAACCTTTCCTTGGCACAGTATTGATGAAAGAGTTAAAAGGCACAAAGAGATGGGAATGGTAGGCTATTAAGTTGGAAGATCTAAGGTTTGATTGTTTTCTGGAAGCCTATAGAAGTCATTCTCTTTATTAGTAACTGTCAAAGAGAGATAATAAATATTTGAAATTCTTCATGAGTGTAATATAAAATACTTCCTTAATGTTTAGTACTTTGTGTTAAGAAGACACAGAGGACTCTAAAAGAGAAGCAAGTAGCCATTCAAATCCATTAGAATTAAATTCTATATAATTATCATAGAGACAAAGAATAATCTGATTCCTTCTCCTAAAAGGTTCTATGACAATGGCAAAAAAGAGATATATTTCTAGAGGAAAGATGCTAAGGAAAAGTGAGGGAAAAAAAGGGAAGAAAGAAACAAACTTCATTTGGCCAATATTTAGAAAATTAGATTACTAGACAATGTATTAGGAGTCTTATGGGATAGATTAATGATAATAATAATGATAACAATACCTGATGAAAAGAGATACTCCCTGCCATAGAAATGGTCTCACTGACCTAGATCAGGGTTAAACACATTTTTGCTAAATCTGGTGGAACAAGACTGTAATTCCAAATAATTCTGAGACTGAGTAAGAAAAATCAAAAGTATAAGGTTTGCTTGGATACAAAGGGAACTCGAGGTCAGCTTGGGCATGACACAGGTCCAAAAAAT